AAATTTTAGAGTCACGGACCCCTTTGAGAATCTGGTGAAAGCTATGGACCCCCCTCCCTAGAAAAATGCACATAAGCACAACTTTGCATGTAATGATTATACTTTATTTTATTGAAAATTCATTGCCTCATACAGTGTATGACATACACAAAGTATAGTGAATATAAATGTTAAATTTTATCTGACCTTCACGGACCCCTGAAGCCCATCCATGGACCCCAGGTTAAGAACCCCTGGTCTAAAAGGACAATTTAATGTTTAAAAGGCCAATTTAACGCCAAAATTTCCATTTAACGCCAAAAAGGCCAATTATAAGACCATTGTTTATTACTAATTTGATTGTTCTTACACACACACACACCGTTAATAATAATAATTATTATTATTATTATTACACACTTAAACAATACATCAAAAATATTCCTACTCACCATTTATTATTGTGTCTGTTCTAGGTTTTTATAATTATATGGAATTTTATTTACAGTTAGTTGTTAAAGACCAACAGCATTATTATGTCAGCCCTGCACTTGTCAGTGAATATATATAAAGCCAAAGTGTATGTATCATGACTTTGTTTAGTGGGTAGATTATATTAGTAAGTGTGTTATAGACTGATAGGAATTATAGAGTAAATAAACGGTAAAATACTGGGTAAGGCATAAGAACGCAGACACTATGCTGAATATCATAGCTTGTAAAGTGAACCATTTGATCGATAAATATATACCCCAAACCAAACCCAATGCCTCTAGGAATATAAGGAGACCCCTACACATGAATCATGCGGTGGTCGACAAAGTTAAGAAGAAAACCCAGTAATTCAAGGCGTGGGTTAGGTCAAACGATGAGCAGGACAAGAAGATGTATGCAAGAGCCAGGAACCAAGCAAAGTCAGAGTGTAGAATGGCTGAAAAGGAGTTCCAGAGGCTGGTTGCAAGCGAGGTCAAGTCAAACCCAAAGGCGTTTTACCGCTATGCAAAGTTCAAATTAAAAATGTGAGTAGGAGTATCAGACCTGAGCCTTAAAGATGGTAGTTACGCAGATTCTGATCAGGACAAAGCTGAGGCATTGAACAGCTTCTTTTCCTCGGTGTTCACAAGAGAGGATGCGATTGACCTACCTGCGTTTGAGGACAGACTGTTCGACACAGAACTGACCCACATTGTGTTTACAGAAGAGGTTATAAGAAATAAACTGTCAAAGCTAAAGGTTCATAAGAGTCCCGGGCCTGACACGGTGCATCCTAGAGTGCGAAGAGAGTTGTGCAACGAGCTTGCCGAGCCCCTGAAGATCCTGTTTTGTCAATGCCTGGATGAACAAAAGGTCCCCAATGATTGGAAAATGGCTTATGTGAGTCCTATCTTCAAGAAGGGCGAGCGTCACTCCACGAACAACTATAGACCGGTGAGCCTGACCAGCATAGTATGTAAAGTACTTGAGAGCATTATAAGAGATGCCACTATGGAACATCTACTACGAAACAACCTTGTAAAGGATTGCAAACACGGTTTTATGCCGGGGTGCTCCTGCTTAACACAATTACTCAAGATATTGAATATTTGGACCCATATTCTGCAACAGGGTGGTATTATCGACAATATATACCTAGATTTTACCAAGGCTTTCGACAGCGTACCCACGAAAGGCCGAAAATTAAACTGGAAGGGTACGGGATTCGGGGAAATGTCTTAGCGTGGATAGAAGGCTTTCTGCATGACCGCAAGCACTGTGTGATGATTAATGGCACGAAATCACCATGTTTACCCGTCACAAGCGGAGTACCACAGGGCAGTGTATTGGGCCCGCTGTTGTTTGTTTGCTTCATAAAGGACATGCTTGAAGCTGTACAATCTTCCATAAAAATGTTTGCCGATGATGCCAAGTTATTTCGGGAAATTAAGAACCAAGCAGACTGTGAAGAGCTGCAGAAGGATTTCTGTGAGCTCCAAGAATAGTCGAAGATATGACTGCTAAGGAGGGGTATCATATGTCCCAACGGGACGAAGAAGCTGCATTAATTGAGACAATGTGAAAAGGACCTCGGCGTGTATGTTTACAATGAGCTGAAGTTCTCGGGCCATTGAGAACAGAAGGTAAATCAGGCAACAAAATTATTAGGTCTAATACGAAGGTCGTTCAGATATCAAGACGTTCAGTTCTTCGTAGCGATCTTCAAGAGTGAAATGCTTCCCCATCTGGAGTACTGTCACCCCGTCCACGAGATATGCTAGGGACTGTCAGTTGATTGAAAATGTCCAAAGGAGGGCCACTAGACTGGTGCCTGCACTAGGGCACCTCAGCTACCCTGAGAGATTGGAACGTCTGAACTTGCCTAGCTTATACAGTGTACTATAGACGGGTAAGGGGAGACCCAATTGAGATGTATAAGCATATCGAAGGGCACTATTCGGTCTAGTTTCCTTATCTGGAGCTGGCGGACGCTCGCCCCACATGGGGTCACAGCTCAGGGTTGAAGAAGCCGCAAGCCCAGAAAACTGTGAGGGGTAACATTTTCGGAGTGAGAGTTGTGAACTCTTGCAACAATCTGCCAGAGAGTGCTGTGACGGGACAAACTGTGAGCTCTTTCAAGACCTGACTTGACCAACACTGGGGCAGGTTCAAATACATTCAGGAGCCAGTGCATGCCCAGTACTTGCCAACAGTGCGTAACAGAGACGTGACCGACCGCCCAAGCGGCTATCGAGCAGTGGTGAAGAGGATAAAAGTAAAAAGTGAAAAGGTAATTTGTATAGTTTGGAATATAATGGGTAATATATATAGTTTAGAATATACTGGGTAATATATATAGTTTGGAATATACTGGGTAATTTGTATAGTTTGGAAGATACTGGGTAATTTGTATAGTTTGGAAGATACTGGGTAATTTGTATAGTTTCTAAATAATATTACCCTTCAACCGTACAGATTCATACCATAAACAGTTTTGCATGTACTGACACTGGTGTATATTATGTATCTCAGCTCAATGGCGTGGTGGTGTGTTGGTTCAGTGGGACGGTACTCGATGTTGATGATGGAGGCCTCGGGTACGACTCCTTGACTGTCTCTTAGGAGACATTGAGCAGGTCGAGGCACAGAGGCAGAATTCTCAAAGGTTCGTAAGTGAAATTTGTTTTTATCTGAAGTATCTGTGTTGGGTGGCGATGATGACCTAGCAAATGTTTCGTAGGGTAGATGTATATTAAGTATTTATTGTTGCACTTTGTTTATTTTAGATTAATGGGTAAAATTGAGGGTAGGGGGGGGCAGGGGAAGACAGAGACTGGGGTGGATGAATCATTTTAACAGTTGTCGTCCCCGGAGAGATACAGCATCTAGAAGATTGATAAACACAGCCCAAAAACATTTAGAGTAAAGGGTCGTGGGTGCCAACCCTCAGACATGATGGCACTTTCATTATATTATGCTAGTGTCTGTTCGTCCGTCTGGTTTTCTGCAGAATTTACCTTATCCGAAACACAAAACGCGGGTGTCTCGTTTAGACAATAAATGTTATATAACTTCACAATCGGTTAAGATATTACAGTGATTGAAGAAGCCACACTTTCAGAAAACTTGTTTTGAGTGAGAGTTGTGAACTGGCGCAGGTACAGATACAGTCTGGAACCAGTACATACCTATAGTATTTGCCAACAGTGAGTAACCGTGAGTCATGAGAATAAATAAAGCTGTGTGGATTCAGGTCAGCAAACACTTTTGGAGGTTCTGCATTACTGTTTAAAATACTGTGTTAACATTAAAAATATTCAATTAGTGGTGAGCTCACGCAAATGTATTTGTGTAAACGGAGTACATCCTGTTTGTCAGTGTCGGGGAAATCCGTGATTACATTCCCGACACAGTTGTAATGGTCACATCAATTGTCAGTGTAACAAATCGAGGTTTAACTCTATCAAATTCGTACTAAATATTGTTCGAAAAATTACTGTTATAATGTTAATATTAGTGTTTCCCTTAATGTTAAGCTCTATTAAATTCCCGTTAAGTATAAGACGAAAACGTAAAGTGAATTGTGATCAAGTTGTGGTGGTCGACGATAGATGGCGCTTTATTGAAGAAAAACAATCCTCCCCACCGTCCTTAGTCTCACACAAGTAAACAATTAAAACTAAACATCCACCAGTGAGTTAAACACGGTGTGATACGATACTAAGCGGATAGAGAGAGGGCAAGAAAGAAAGGGGGATAGAAGGAGATAGAAGAAAATTAAGAGAGCAAAGATAGAGAGAGTATTGGCCTTACACACACACACACTAGTCTACTAGAGTGAATGAATGCACAGAATGAGATAAAGAAGATGAATAGAGAAGAAAAGCATAAGATAAGATAACAGGATGACCACAGGGGATGAAGACCGGAAATTAATACACACACAGACACTCACGATAAGCCACTGAAAAAGAACAACATAAACATCCGCAGGTCAGCAGGAGTCACTGAATGTCTACTTGAGTCAACTGATATTAAATTCTCCACTACAGTTAACTTAAGTCACGAAAGATCAAGAACAATATTGTTAAAAGAGGTAATGGATCACCTGAAGAATCATCACCCCAGCTTATTTCACCTAACGATTAAACCACCCTAACCTAACTTAACCTAAACCTATTCTATCCTAACCTAAATCTAACCTAACATATCCTAACCTAACCTCATCCTCCCACAATAGTTTTAGGGTGGTTTAATCGTTAGGTGAAATAAGCTGGGGCGATGATTCTTCAGGTGATCCGAAAATAGTTCTCCATAATAAAAAAAAAGAAGAAAAAGAGAAATAAAATAGAGTAACGCCGTGACTCTAAAATAGCAAACAGAAAGCTTATCCACTGGACCGCAGTTCGGCCATTAATTTGACGTTTTTACGATATTTGAACGTATAATCATGTTCGAAGCTTCAAATGCTTCAATGAAGCTTCGTGACGTCACTCTCAACCTTCATTTATAAAGTCTCGTCGAACTCGATTTCCACCCATTCTTCACACTCACTAGCTGCAGCTGACAGGGAGGTAAGACGCCCCACACCCCGCACCTCAAGTCTCCATTATATACGTGTAATTTTTTTCCCGACTGTATACAGTCAATATGGCCCAGAGAAATGGTTATTCTTTTGGTTAGTGTTTATATATACTTAATTATGGCGTAATAAATGCTGATTTAAGTAACAAACTTGCCAGCCGGTTGTTGCAGTTTACTTGGCTTCTAGAGACGTATCCCCATGTTTCAATGGGCCGTAAGGCTTATGATACCTACTTTGCAGCTTAAACAAATACATTAATATGGGTTAGTATTATATTAAGTGTTTCTCTAACGTCTAACCAGTAATTTATTAACGTTTTAAAACTTTTAGGGCAAATATACCGCCTAATGAGCCATAACAACCGAGCCGAAACTATAAACCGGTGGCGAGTAACAAGCGTAAACCGCACCTCAGTATTTGTGTTATAATTAACCAGTGAGTGAGTGCAATGACGAGATTGGGTGAAATTATTGTATTTATTTTTTTAATTTCACATTTTCCCTCTTGCTTCGAAGCCCAGCCCACTTTTGGCGTAGCCGGGTGGTCATAACTCAATAGCTACGCATTTCTTCTAACGTTCATCACCAAAATATAACTCTGTTTTGTGGAATTACGATACAATATTTTTCACTGGATAGTTCTTTGCTTCCTCTTTAACTAGGATTTCTGGGAGTTGAAACCGAATTTATTACGGGTTTTAGCCGGGCGAAGCGAGGCATGCTAGGCGAGGCAGGCAAGAAGCCAGACGGGAAGCGAGGCGAGGCGAGTTGAGGTAGGGAACCGGGCGAGGCAAGGGAGCCGGCGGAGGGCGAGGTTGAGGGGTTTCAGAATATTTGTACAGTGTATATTAAATTTTTAAAAGTGGACAACCATGGATTTTACCATCGGAAAAACACATTGGTCAACAACCAAAAAGCACCAAAAAATACCGGGTTCCTAAAATAAATGTTAAGATGTATATAAAGACACCGTTAAAATGTATTGGTAAATAAGGCAGTAACCATCTAATTAACCTCTGGAAAATGTTAAAATGTTTGGCTCGCCTGAAGATTCATCCCCCAGCTTATTTCAACTGAAGATCAATTTAACCTAAGCCAATCTACGTATTACAATGTGTTGGCGAATCTTTCTTTTTCAGATCAAGGAATGACTGCAGATTCAACTACAGTACAAAACCCTCTGTTATTGGTGTGGTGCAGTATGTGGTCAGTGTGGTGCAGTACGAGGACACAAGTGAAGTGTGGTGCAGTATGTGGGGACAACAGACCACGAGTGAAACTTCTCACAATACACAACGGTGTTCCTTCAGGTCAATTTTAACGTTTTGTGTGAAGGTGTGGGTGTGCATAGCTTGCTATGGTGTCATTTAATGTTTGGTGAGGGGTTGTGGGTGGATGTTGCTTCCTGTGGTGTCGTTTAATGTTTTGTGAGGGTGTAGCTGGGTGTGGCTTGTTGTGGGGTCGTATAACGTTTTGAGAGTGTAGGTGGGTTGGGCTTGTGGTGGGGTCATTTAACGTTTTGCGAGAGGGTGTGGGGTGTTGACACTTAAGGGGGCATGAGGGAGGGAAGGTCTAGTCAGCTGTAATAAACCTTGTGTATAGTGCATGAAGCAGTGTAGTACAGTACAGTACAGTATAGTGTAAACTAATGTGGAGGTAATGATTTAGGTAAACAGTTGGGGACAGTTTAAGTACATGTGATCTAGTTGCAAGTTTAATTTTCATTGTACGTAAATTACAACTTTAAACACGTTGCAGGTAACAGGTGATGTACGTGAAGGCCAATGGAGAAGTGACAGAACCTCGAGCAAGATTTAACTACCAGCATGTTACTTCAGCCTCATCAGTTAAGTTACTTGTACAGTATATCTTAGCTAGTATCTTTATCCAATAAACCACTCGACACTGCTCCTACACTGGGCAGTGGAGGGTGTGTGGGGGGTGGGGGTGCCTTGCTGACTGTTTGAGGCCTAATAGGTCTGTGTGTAGACCTAGTGATCAGTGTGTGGGGCCTGGCGGACACTCTTGGAGGACTGTGTTGGAGGGCTATGGAGGACGATCTGTAGACAGACTGATATTAGAGCAAAATTAATATTAGTTGTAGTGACAATAGAAATATACAGAACTGTATGCCTATTGATTATTAGTGAAAATTAGTAGCAGTAGTAAACATAGTAAGTTAAACAAGTTGTTGTGGGTGGGTTTCAACTAACTTTACTAACCATAACCTAACCTAAGATAAACTATTCCAAGACATAAATTCAGTATTTTTTTGTCACTTACGTTAACTGATCATGAATTCATAAGTTAATTTTGAAAGAAGTTAAATTTGACTGTTGTAAATAATTAATTTTTGAAAAATTATGTACATTTGACGACAGTTTAACTACATGTTGTCTAGTGGTAGATGGATATTGTATGTTTAACATTCATTCAACATAAATGCCAACTTTAAACATTTTGCAGGTGACAGCTGATGTATGTGAAGGCCAATGGAGAAGTGACAGAACCTTGAGCAACATTTAACACCCAGCATGTTACTTCAGCCTCATCAGTTAAGTTACTTATATATATCTTGGCTGTTATGGTCATCCCATAAACTACTCAACACCGTGCTTCTACACTCGGCAGTGGAGGGTGTGTGGGGGTTCTGGCTGACTGTGTGATGGAGGGCTCTGGAGGACTGTGTGATGGAGTGTTCTGGAGGACTGTGAGAAGGAGGGCTCGTGAGTACTGAGTGGACAGACTGGTCTTCGAGTAAAATTAATTAGTTGTAGTGACAATATAAATATACAGGACTACATGCGTATTGGTTATTAGAAAAAATTAGTAGTGGTAGTAGTATAGTAGTAAATACAGCAAGTAAAGCAAGTTGTTGTGGGTGGGTTTCAACTAACTTTACTAACCTAACTTAACCAGCCTAAGTTAATTAAACGTAATAACGTAGACTGAACCAAATCCGTAATAGGGTCACCGCGACCCGTAGCTGGGGACGTCAAAGGCTCGGTCGGATTGGTACACCGTCAATGACTCTCAGCTCATCTTGGAGGGGGGGGGGGTGGCAAGCTACCTCCGGTGTCCTGGCTGAACTGCGAGAGGGGCAACCACTGGTGTCGTGCCTCCCTGCGAGATGGGCAACCGCCGGTGTCTTGGCTGTCCTGCGACGGTCGTCGAGTAGAGTGCCACCTCGACGGTGGGGGTTTCATCTCGCAGAGGGTCGTTGATCTACCCGACCCGTCTTGGGACAACAACCACGGAGTCTAGCATGTGTAGGAGTCGATGGGGTCACTGAGCCCGAAGGTGAGATGAAGGTAACGGGCGCCTGGTGCGTCTTGGGCAGATCCTCAACTGGCTGCCTCTGGCCGTGCACGTGTGGCGTTTGCGTGGTTGAGACCCTTTCCCCCCACTGGGAAAAGGGCCTTCCCCCGCGCATTACCACGTGAGTGCACACGTCGCCGCGCTTCTGTGGGCGCACACGCCGCCACCTCAGCTTGTTTGCAGCTGGGTGGGTGGAGCGGCCCAAAAAGTGTTTTTATGTCTACTTAAATAAATTATATACAATATGCCTATCGATTGATTTTTATCCTAAGAGTTATCTGATAAAAATGTGAATTTATTAGGAAGGTACTGCTATGGAGGGTAGGACATGGAACACTATGAATTAGTGCTTTATTTGTAGTAATAATTATATAAAAAAATGACAACTCATAATTTATGGTTCAGTGAAAAAAAAATTATAGATCAGTCATATTTAATATTTGGTTAGGTAGGTTAAGTTAAAGTTAGGGTAGGTGAGGCTAGGTGAGGCTAGGCTAGGTTATTTCCATGTTTTGTGCCAGTTATTCACTGGCAATGGGGGGGGGTGGCAATTGTATATGAACCAAGCTGTGCAGCTTTTTACGACCATGACGTGCACCAAGTCTGGGGCTGGTGCCCCCACACACTTGGCTAGCTCAAATATTCTGCAAGATAAGTTTTAAAAAGGTTTATGTTCAGTTTCTGAAGGGTCACCTCAAAAGACTTGTCAGAAGCATACCAGTCTCTCTCTCTCTCACCCTTTATATTTAAGCCTCTCTGTCCATGTAATCCAGTTGCCTCTGAAAATGTCTTGAATAAAGACGAAAGCTAAGGTACTCCGTTGTTTCCATTTTTCGATGGCGGTTTCATCAAGATATATATATATATATATATATATATATATATATATATAATATATATATATATATATATATATATATATATATATATATATATATATATATATATATATATATATATATAATTTTTTTTTTTTTTTTTTGCAGGTATGACTGTAGCCTTGTGACTAGCCTACAGTATTTTAGGCCTACTTCAAAATTTTTTTTTTCTGTGTTTTCGATCAACTGATGTAAGTGCACAACAGCATCGTAAAGTATAACCATGTTTTCGTACTCCATTTTTATGGCAAATTTACATTTTTTAAACTATATACACTCTTTGAATATTACTGTATTGTAAAATCCTACAAAACCCATCATACATTTCTTTTGTGATGCATATATGTACAGTAAATGATATTAGTCTGTTCTGCATCACCTTTGGCCATAGGCATTGGTGATGAAAGCATTATAAAAGCCAATGCTGCTATTGTTATACAGCATTAATTTCTTCTGTTTCTTTCAGAACTATAAAAACAGAGATATAGAAGACCGAAAGCTTAAAAAGACAGGTGGTGGTCCACGAGAAAAAAATATTAAAAGCTTCAGAAGAAATTGCCTTAACAGCATCACTGATGAGGGCCGAGTTAGCAGTGGCTGGTGATTTTTACGAGACCTTCCGCAGTCACCCAGTAGATGAAGAAATAATTCCTTATAGAATGTGCAGATAGGTGAGAATATTTATTGATTTATACAGTTGTATGCATTCTCATTGACACCATTGCTCAATCTCCTTTGGCTGTGTAAAAATCAAACGGCAGCAGTGACCTACCTTATACTGACTTTTTGCAGTTTTGCCTGTTCCAACCCCAGGGCCATCAACTGTGCTCACCAGTCATTGTTCCTGCCTCGACAGTGAATGCTCCTACCTCACCAGTGAATGCTCCTGCCTCACTAGTCATTGTTGCTTCACCAGTCATTGTTCCTGCCTCACCAGTCATTGCTCCTGCCTCACCAACACTGGAGCAGGTTCAGGTACATTCAGGAGCCTGGGCATGCGTAACAGACGTTACCAATCGTCCAAGCGGCTAACAAGCCAATCAGTGGTGAATAGGATAAAAGTATATACATGCTGTTAGAAATTTATTTTCTTACATTTTACAATTAAATAATTTGATTTAAAGTAAATAAATCTACATTAATTTATTTTGTCAAAAATTTTCTTAAGTTAAAAAAGCCGTCGGAAGTATAGCGGCTAATATTTTGCTCACAAGTTGCCTCGCTTCTCTGGGCGCACACGTCGCCGCGCTTCTCTGGGCGCACACGTCGCCGCGCTTCTCTGGGCGCACACGTCGCCGCGCTTCTCTGGACGCACACATCGCCGCGCTTCTCTGGGCGCACACGTCGCCGCGCTTCTCTGGGCGCACACGTCGCCGCGCTTCACTGGACGCACACGTCGCCGCGCTTCTCTGGGCGCACACGTCGCCGCGCTTCTCTGGGCGCACATGTCGCCGCGCTTCTCTGGGCGCACACGTCGCCGCGCTTCTCTGGGCGCACACGTCGCCGCGCTTCTCTGGGCGCACACGTCGCCGCGCTTCTCTGGACGCACACGTCGCCGCGCTTCTCTGGGCGCACACGTCGCCGCGCTTCACTGGACGCACACGTCGCCGCGCTTCTCTGGGCGCACACGTCGCCGCGCTTCTCTGGGCGCGCACGTCGCCACCTCAGCTTGTATGCGGCTGTGTGGGTGGAGCGACCCAAAAATGTTTGGGCGCGCCCCCACACATGCCGTCGTCCAACGGGCGTGTTTCGCCTTGTAGTAGGTGACCGCGACCAGTAGCAGGGGACGTCGAAGGTTCTGTCGGATTGGCACCCCACTACCGACTCTCTCAGCTCGTCTGAGTGGGGGGGAGGGGGGAGTTCCGCACGACTGGGGGCAACCGCCAGTATCCTGGCTGTCCTACGACAGTCGTAGAGAAGAGCGCCGCCTCCACCTCGACTGTGGGGGTTTGCTCTCGCGACGTGCAGAGGGTCGGTGATCCACCCGACCCACCTCGGAACACGGACCACGGAGTCTAGCGTGTGTGGGAGTCGATGGGCTCACTGAGCCTGAAGGCGAGATGAGGGCAACGGACGCCTGGTGCGTCCTGGGCAGATCCTCAACCGGCTGCCTATGGCCACGCCCGCGCGGCGTTTGCCGGGTTGAGACCCCCAGGGTCTCACCCGGCGTATTGCCGCGCGAGCGCGGTCGGGGTGGTTGGTTGGGGGGTCTGCCCAGGACGCACCAGGCGCCTGTTGCCTTCATCTCGCCTTCAGGCTCAGTGAGCCCATCGACTCCCACACACGCTAGACTCCGTGGTCCGTGTTCCGAGGTGGGTCGGGTGGATCACCGACCCTCTGCACATCGCGAGAGCGAACCCCCACAGTCGAGGTGGAGGCGGCGCTCTTCTCTACGACTGTCGTAGGACAGCCAGGATACTGGCGGTTGCCCCCTGTCGTGCGGAACTCCCCCCTCCCCCCCACTCAGACGAGCTGAGAGAGTCGGCAGTGGGGTGCCAATCCGACCAAACCTTCGACGTCCCCGGCTACGGGTCGCGGTGACCTACTGTGAGGTGAAATACTCCTGATTAGTCCATGAGAAATCAAAGCCTCACACGCTTTGGTCTCTCGGCGCACACGTCGCCACTCTTCTCTGTGCGCGCACGTCGCCACGCTTCTCTGTGATTAGTCCATGAGAAATCAAAGCCTCACACACTTTGGTCTCTCAGCGCACACGCCGCCACGCTTCTCTGGGCGCGCACGTCGCCACGCTTCTCTGGGCGCGCACGTCGCCACGCTTCTCTGGGCGCGCACGTCGCCACGCTTCTCTGGGCGCGCACGTCGCCACGCTTCTCTGGGCGCGCACGTCGCCACGCTTCTCTGGGCGAACACGTTCCAGCAGTTTTTCTC